ACTATATCTTGACTTCAGCAAAGCTTTTGACAAGTTGCCCATGATATTCTGATTATCAAGCTAACTAAGAGTGGTGTGGGTAGAAGAATTGTCAGCTAGATACACAGTTGGTTACAGAATCATACTCAGAGAGTGCTTATCAATTATTCTTTCTTAAACTGGGAGGAGGTAACAACTGGGATGCTACAAGGCTCAGTGCTAGGGCCATTGCTCTTCAACATTTTTATTAATGACTTGGATGAGGGAATGCATGGAATGCTTATCAGATTTGCAGGTGATGGAAAACTGGGGAAGGGGAATAGCTGGTATCCTGGAAGATAAGAAGATCTTGATATGCTCAAACACTGGGCTTAAAAAACAGAATGAAATTTGACAAGGATAACTACAAAGTTCTACATCTATGGAAAAACAAGCAAACATACAGTTACGAAATGGGCTCAGTAATGCAACAAAAGAGAGGGATCTTGGAATTGTTGTAGATCACAAGCTGAATATGAGCCAACAACATGATGTGGCTGCAAAAAAACCTCATTGCTATTTTAGGCTGTATTAACAGAACTATAGTCTCCAAATCTCATGAAGTACTAGCCCCCCTCTATTCGGCACTGGTTAAGCTTGAGTACTGTGGCCAGTTCGCGATACTGCACTTCAAGAAGGATGCTGGCACACTGGAACAAATTCAAAGGAGGGCAAGAGTCAGGGGACTGGAAACCAAGCCCTGTGAGGAAAGAGTGAAAAATTTGGACAAGTTTATCCTTGAGAGAATACGACTGGGGAAAGATATGACTCCATTTTTCAAATACTTGAAATATTGTCATGCAAAGGCCCTGAGTGGGGCATTGGACATGACAGCCTTTAAAACCCCTTCCAACTCCATTTTTCTATAATTCCATGATTCATTTTGAGTGGTTTAATATCTTTAAGGACTGGTTTGGACATGCCTATACATCACAATTTGTCATGACTTGATTACTCTATACTTAACAATTCTCAGGCATATGTGTGAACTCTAGAAAAGGAAATGTATTGCAATTGAGTTTACCATTGGGAAAATGAAAAAACCTTGCTGAGATGATTAACAGCTTCTTTCTGCAGAAACCTATGCATTATGCTATGGGAGTCAATGAATGAGGACTGAACTGCCTGTTAGATGAAAGTTGCACTCAATTGGTTAAATACATTCGTTCTGTCGATTATTTAACTACTGAGTTCAGAGATAGCCTAAAATATTTTGGCTCTAAGCAGACAATCCCAACCATGTCCACTATGATGGTATTAATATAGTAATTTTTAAAATGGGTAGGTTTGGGATTAGGTACTAGCAGAAATCTCCTTTTGCATGCCAAAATGCTCTTCCGACTGATCCCAGAATGTCTTTGCTGGCTAACAACTGCTGGCAGAAGTGGGAAAAACAGGGCAGGCATAGTTGGGATGCAGGATCAGCCACGTTTTCCAGGATCCCAAACTCCTCTATATTATAAGCACAGTTGTGATGCTGGCATAAAGCTAGGCCAGAGCAAGAGTAATCATAAGGAAGGATAAGGAAAGGTTAAGGAAAGGTTTCAATTCAGCACAACTTCAGCTGGTTTAGTGTATTCTCAATTTGCTGGTGTCTACCTTGGTTGTTCAGTATTGTATTGCAAAATTAGGTAGTTGTTATTAGTGACTCATTAGCACCGGTTGGAAGGAAGATTCAGAAGTAGGAATATGCAGACTGCTTTTCTAAGATTTGAAAAACTTTCAAAAATTTCACAAATCCTGCAAACAGCAGCAGTAGCAATGATTTTCCATGCATAAATAAGGAAAATGCAAAAAATTGAAGCATCTCATTGCATTTATTTTGAAATTCTTGTGAGTTGTTACATGGAAGTTCAGCTTTTAAATCAAAATGAAGAAAATCTCAAAGAATGTGCTCTCAAATTTGTGCATCAGCTATATTATAATCACTAGAAAATGCAGGTTGAGAAATTCATACAAAAGGGCTAGTTCAGCAAGCAAACATTTACTATAGCAGTAATCTAGTGCTTTGCAGGTATATTATATCCACCTAATAGAATTACCCGTGACCATAATCAATACTTAAAGCAATAAAGCTGTCTTGAAGGTTCAGGCCGGTAACACTGGCGAATGAACATTGCACAGTACACAGTAGCTGCGTTCTTTAAGGTCTAAGATAAACTAATTTTGTTTGTGTGGGACAATAGGCAACAACTTGTTGCAGAGGAATAAAAAGTATGCATTTCCAGAAAGTCAGTGAAATGCCTGAAAATCAGGATTGCTCATCTAGGACAAGAGCTGAATTTTCAAGGGATTTTTGTGCTTTCTTCAGGTAGAGAGATCAATGTCAAGGCAAGCAGAACTGAGGCAAAGAAAGTTTGACTGTTGTATGTGAGACAGTTTTAAAGCCTGGGTGTCCATTCCCCATCCCTTTCCAGTTGGCACTAGGAATTTTCCCTTGCGTGGTGACCCTTTTTGAATGGTAGTGAGCACAAGAGGGTATGCTGTAGACCATCTTGACGCTGGGCATCCTTTTTCCTGCTGGCAGTGCAGTCACAATATTGTGCAGCTATATTAGACAATTTCCTGGCTTTTTGAATCATGGATACAGAAGCACGATATCTCATTAGTAAACCAGAGGGCTCTTTTGAAGGATTCAGTTTCCTGGCTTTTTAAAATGGGAGCTTAAATACAGATACACTACACATAAATTCCAACAGAAATTTCCCTCGTGTAGAATTAGAGTAGCACATGATCTGTACTATGGTTCCTGGACAGAAGCAAGAACAGCTTGGATGTGGTTCTGGTCCCTCTGTGCCAAAATAATTTGAAGGGTTATTTTGGACTTAATGAAATGGTGAACCAAATGTGTAAGTAGGTACAACATATACAATAGAGAAACATACACACCCTTTAACCTCTCAGGTAAACTAGTGTTGCCATGCCCACTATGTAAGATGCAGACTAGAAAGCTATGTTCCAATTTCCTTGAGCTAGGCAAGCAGAGGGGGGGGGGCTATATTGGTCCAAAAAATATGGAAATGTGTGCATATTTTCAAAAGATGTCCCTTCACCTTTTGAAATTAAAAATGGAGAGGTTGGAGTTAACAGAGTGTCACTGGAAACCAAGGTCAAAAGCATTCATACACATAAATGAAAGACATTGAAGAAAGACATGGACAAGCATCAACTCATTTGAAATGTGGAGTTGGAGGAGAGCCATATCTATATAAAAATAGCCAGAAAAGCAAAAAAAGTGGGTGTTCAATCAAGTCAAGCCTCATAAGGGGAAAAATGAGTAATCTAACTCTGTCTTCACATGCACATATAATGCGAATAAAGAAGTCACCAGAATAGACTATATTACTGGGACAAGTGGGGTAGAGCAGTAGAAAAAGAGGAGGACCTAACATGAGATAGGCTGACTCAATACAGGAAATTACAGCTATTAGTTTGCAAGAGAAGACTCAATGGAAAACACAATATTGCTAGGAAAGGGGGAGAAGTAGGAAGAGAGAACAACCTAACACGAACTGCTATTGGTTTGCAAGATCTGAGCAGAGCTGCTATTATTAGGACATTTTGGAAGTCATATAGTCACTCACAACACAGCAGAAGTCACTTCATGGCACATAGCATCTTTGGAATGTTTTTCTTAATTACCAAGCAATAGTATAATGGTGAGATTGGTGCAATGGGCACCAAAAATCTGCTATAATGAAGTAAGACCGTCCCTAGCCACTAAGGAAAAAAAATAGTAATTCATCTGCTTAAATGAGCGAGCTTCTGAATGTTTGTAAAAATATTTTTTACACAAGAAACAGAAACTCTTTTCAATGTCTATTTGGGTAGGAAGGAGTTAAAAAGTTCTCCTTCTGAGAGCCATTTAATTTGGTCCTGACTGACTGGGTCAAATGTTCAGAAGTCCCTATCCAACTCTCAAGCTGAAACCATGTTTATTTTTAGAACCAGTTTCTAAGCAGTTAGAAAATTAGAATTTTCCCCCTTTGAAATGTTCCCCCCCCCAAGAGTTTCTGATGCCTGGATTCCTTTCATTTTTTTAAAAAAAAAGTGTCTGGGACTAACATTTCTCTTTCAAGATAAGCAAGTCTGATCTTTTCAATGTTTTTGATTTGTTTTAAATCTGCAGAAAAGGTCACCAGTGTCTGCACGGGGCTGGGGTGAGATGGTAAAACAGTTTTACATTTTAAAAATCATAACTCAAAAACCATTTGCCTAACATCCCCAAATTTGGCACACAGCTAGAGCAAGCTGTTCTGCTACATCTGTGCCAAAGTTGGTGCTGATCAGTGGTACAGTTTCCAAGTAATAATTTTTTGTTTGTCAATTTTAGAATTGGGTTATGGACTGTAGATTGACTCTGTTGTGCAATATCTATCACTGCACTCTCATGCAGCAATAATATGGTTATTCTTTCACAATGACAGTTCTTAAATCACAATTCCCTTTTGCTACTCTTCAGTTTGGCTATTCCATAGTCTTGCTGTACAAGCACACATATACTTATCACATGCAATATTTGTTGAACATATGGGATGTAAAATTAACATACCCAAAGGGCCAATGGGATGCAGCAGAAGGGTAGGTACATATGTCGCACAAATGCACCCCATAGTCTGTTACTAAAGCCCAACATGGCAGTCAACAGGATTTTTTTGGTCTTATGTGCAGTGACGTTAAATATGCCAAGACTGAACTATTCTTAAAACTAGTTGTGCTTTATTTTGACAATCGAGAATCATAAACATTTAAAAATAATTTTTCAGATCTAGCAAGATAATTACTATAGCTTCCAAAATAGGATTTCAAACCAATCAAATTCAAACCAGATTGACTGGAAAGGAGCAAACTCTCAACAACACCATGTTTCAAGATAAATCTTCATTATTATACACTCGTGGGCCAACTTATGGTTCACTGTGGAAATTAAACCAATCTCTCTCTTTTTTCTCTCTCTCTTTCTTTTTGAATAGGCAGATGCAGAGCATTTCACCCCAGATTTGCTGTAAATACCTTCATGCATTTGGAACTCTGTGTGATATCTGTCAGACATGAATCTAAATATGGAACAGCATTACATTTAAACATGTTTTAAAGGAGGTAAGCACAGATCCCTCAGGTTGGTTCTGTGGCCAGTTTGGCATATTGAACCAGATACTGAATTTTTCTGAACGCATTCAGACCTATATTTTTCTGATTATTTATTTAATTTACTTAAAACATTTTACCCCACTTTTCTGCTTAAAAAGGGCCCAAAGTGTCTTACATTGAAGTGCAATATTTAAAGCTAAAATCAACGAGTTTACAATGGTAGTTTACATCATTAAAACACAATATTTAATCTAAATATACATATACAAATATCAAAAAGGAACAAATACAACTCTGAGAAAGGATAAAGAAAGCAGTAGTAAAAATGCAATCAATCTACCTAAAAATCATTCAGGTAGCCAGTCACTGAAGAGAAACGTCTTTGCCTATTTGCAGAAGGACAGTCTGGGATTCCTGTGGGAGGGAGTTCCAAAGTCTGGGAGCTGCACTCTCCTGTGTCTTCATCAAATGCAACAGTGAAAGTGGTGGGAGCAAGAAAAAAACTTCTTCTCATAATCTTAACACCCAAGCCGACTCATAATGGGAGACACAGTCTTCGAGACAGACCATTTTGGGTTTTATAGGTTAAAACCAGCACTTTGAATTGTGCCCAGAAATGGACCAGCAGCCACTGGAGATGCTCTACGAGGGGGTTTATGTGACACCTGTAATCAGCTCCTGTCAGCAACCTGGCTGTTGTATTTTGGACCAACTGAAGTTTCCTGACACTTTCCATTGGCAGCCCCACATAAAGCATGTTACTTTAATCCAGCTGGGAAGTAACTAAGGTGTGTGTCATAGTAGTCAGATTAGACCTCTCAAGAAACAGTTGTAGCTGGTGCACTAGTTTTAATTGCGCAAATACACTCCTGGGCCCTGCCAAAACCTGGGCATCCAGGTTCAGAGATGAATCTAAGAACACCTCCAAACTGCACGCCCGTGTCTTCAGGGGGAGTGTAATCCAATCCAGCACAAGCTGCATCTCTGTTCTTTGATCTGCCTTTCGACTGACCAGGAGCACCTCTGTCTTGTCTGGATTAAGTTTCAGTTTATTCACCTTCATCCAGTCAATTACTGATACCAAACACTGATCTAAAGCCAAAACAGCTTCCTTGGATTTAAGTGGCAAGGAGAGGTAGCACTGGATATCATCCACATGCTGGCGATACTGAACCCCAAAAATCCAAACAATCTCTCCCAGGGGTTTCATGTAGTTGTTAAATAACATAGGAGACAAAACCCAACCCTGAGGGACCCCATAGGCCAGCAGCCAGGGTGTCAAACATGAATCCCCCATCACCACCTTCTGAGTTCTCTCCTCCAGGAAGGACTGGAGTTACCATAAAACACTGCCCCCAAGTCCCATTCCAGAAAGATGGCTCAGGAGGATGCTGTGGTTGACACTATCAAAAGCTGCTGAGAGCTCCAGCAAAACCAACAGTGATTATTAATTGATGCAGAAATTTAGATTGCTGGCCCTCCTGTTGACTTGCAAAGAACAACCAAACTGGCTATAGCTACTAAGGTACTGATGTAAGAAAAATTTCAGGACATGATACACCTGAAAGAGATGAGTAAACCTAGACTGGTGATGGCGAACCTATGGCACGCGTGCCACAACTGGCACACAGAGCCCTCTCTGTGGGCATGTGAGCCATAAGTCACCATTGAGAAATACTTACCCATCCTCTGATTCTGGATTTTGGCACTCCCCTCTGCTGATGCAGTGGTCCAGCAGAGGGGTGCAATGGTGACCGACCATTAGCAGTCTAGCCCAATGGGGGGATTGGAGGACTGGTAAGTATTTCTTTGTTAATGCCACCCATAGGAAAAAACAAACAAAAAAGCATTTAACCCTTGCAGTGCAGGAGCAGTTGTTTTTTCTAAACTTAAATCTCAGTATTCTGGTTTTAATTGCAGTGTTGGCACTTTGAAATAAATAAGCTGATTTTGTGTTGCAGTTTGGGCACTCGGGCTCAAAAAGGTTCACCATCACTGTCCTAGACTGTTTCAGGCAACTGTGTAAATGAAGCAGAACATTCGTTCTGACTACTCTCGATGAGCCTTTCATTCACTGCTCTCCATGACAGCTGGGTTGGTGCCAAATCTTCCCTTTGTGGAAGCACCACCACTGCATCCTCATAGTATCTATGTGGGTTGGATGAGGATGCTTCCCCATGAGCTGCTTCTCTTGTGCCTCTGCTGCAATGCATGGTAAAGTTACTTTCCTCATATGAAATCTTTTAGAGTATAGCCACGTTGGCTCTTGGGGAGATTTCTGGCAGTTCTCTCCCCCCCCCCAAAAAAAACAACAACCTTATCTTGCTTTCATCTACTGTAATGGAACCTTCAAATAGCATTGTTTCCATGTGCAAACTGCTGTTACTGCATCAGGACTGTAATTCACTTATGTGTCCCCAAAGTGATTATGGCTAAATGGAATGAACTCGGCTATGCAGGCAAGGTCCTCATGAAATCCTTGGTTGCTTGTTATTTCTCATCGTTGTTTCTCTGCAAGGTATAGTAGACAAATAATGACCTAGCTTGTGGCTGAGTGTGAACAATTGGCAAACACTTCACCCATTAAAACTGCTCTATTGGCAATGAGTAATAATCAAGTGCTAGCAAGGAACTGTAAACAGTGTACCACTTAAGTGTGCCGGATTGGATAGATGCATGCAGCTCAACGTGAAGAAATGCACAGCAAACAATTAAAGAAAACAAAGGCCATTCTTATATATATATATGGGGGTTTTTTAGCCTTATTGCAGACTTTAATTAAAGGATTTTTTAAAAAAAATGTAGTCCAGCTTTCAAAAGCATGTATTAGTCACTAGCAATATATTCTCATACATATGCTCAATATTTAGGCAATTTACTATTTTTATCTTAATTAAGATATTTCATTTCAGCCAGCTATAAGCCAAGTCATCTGTACTGCCATTATGTTTGTACCTCTCTAAATTCAAGGTTCTGTCTGGCATTGGGAGATGGTTCTTAAGATAAAATTTAATATATTCTTGCATTTCTATGTGTTTGATTTTATTTTGAAAATTGTAGTGCTTTTAGCTGAAGCAACAAGCACTCTCTAACATGCTCCGTTCTACATTTGTTGTTGGTTTCAATGTTGCCATCTATGCTAACATTCTAACTCTTGTCCTGAACCCTGCCCCATCCAATTTACTTCTTTCTCCCTTGTCTTGTGTATTACAACCAGTTTTGCTAAAAATAATAACCTTCTGACAATTCTTATATGTGTGATAACTTACCATGAGCAGAATTTGAAGGAAGTTCAATTTTATTCTGCAATTATTGAGTAACTGGTAGAGAACATTGGGGGTGTGTCTTTTTAAAAAAACAGCAAATCCCAGAATTATTCATTCTGGGAGCCTTACCTGACAAACAGATACCTAAATGTGGCTTACCTGAGAGAAAGTCCTAAACTGGAAGGCTTCATTGCCTCAAATACGCCCTGTAAGCAGGAATGCTGGCCGGACCAGCATTCCTGCTTACAGGGGAGTCTTTTTCATCATCTGCCATCCCTCAGGCACTGGGTGAGAGACAGTGCAGCTGTGCTGCTGTTGGTGGCCAGCCTTCCTGGGGGAGTTTGGCCTGGACTCCCTTGGCCTTGCAGGACTGGGCCCTTGCTACCTCTAGCTGCCCCACCCCATCCTCAACATTAGCCACCTGGCTTGGAGCGGAGAAGGGGCTTTAAAGGGTGGGCTATTGTTGTTTTTTAATTGTTATTATTAGTTGTCATCAGGTTACATAGAGACCCACAGTGGAAATGAGGGAACAGGAAGGGGGGAGGGCATTGGAGGGAAAGGAATGGAAGTGGGGTAGAACATGCTCACGTAGGAGAAGAGAGGTTAGATATCTTACATGTATCCCTACAGTGCTGTTGATGAATGCCAGGATAGTACAAAGTAAGACTGCCCTCATCCATGATGTAATTCTGGATGAGGGCACTGACCTGGTGTGCATTACTGAGACCTGGGTGGGAGAGGAGGGTGGTGTTCCCCTCTCCCAGCTCTGTCTGCCTGGGTACTCAGTCCTGCACCAATGTTGCTTGGAGGGTCGGGGAGAGAGAGTTGCTATAGTCTATAGGAGTTCTATCTCCTTAACCAGGCTTCCTATCCCTTTGAGAGGAGTTCTTGAGGGCCTGCATTGTGTGTTGGGCTTATGAGACAGATTGGGGATTCTGTTGGTGTACTGCCCACCCTGCTGTGTACCAACAGTCTCCCTGCCTGAGCTGATGGAGGTAATCTTGGACCTGGCATCAATTCCCAGGCTGTTGGTGCTGGGGGACCTCAACATCCATGCGGGGGCTGCCTTGACTGGGGCGGCTCAGAACTTCATGGCTGCAATGACAACCATGGGGCTGTCTCAATACGTCATCGGCCCGACACATGAAAAGGGCCATACCTTGGACCTGGTTTTATCAACGGGACTGGAAGATGGTGGATTGGGTATGGAGGGACTGGTTGTGACCCCATTGTCATGGTCAGACCACTTTCTGGTCAAGTTTAGTCTATTAGCTGCTTCTTCCCTCTGCAAAGGTGGGGGTTCTATTAAGATGATCCGCCCTCAGAGATTAATGGATCCAGATGGTTTCCTGAATGCTCTGGGGGATTATCCGTCTGATATGGTCGGCACTCCTGTCAAAGCTCAGGTCACCCTATGGAATAGGGAGATGACCTGGGCAGCTGACACGATTGTGCCTAAGCACCCTCTCCCTGCACGCATAGCCCAGACAGCTCCTTGATATACTTCTGAACTGCGGGCAATGAAGAGAGAGGGGAGATGGCTGGAGCGCAGGTGGTAGAAATCCCACTGGGAGTCCAATCGAACATGACTTAGAGCCCATTATCGGGCCTATTTTGTGGAATACGGCTGGGAAAATGGCAATATTTCTCCAGCCATATTGCTTCCTCTGAATGTTGTCCAACAGAGCTGTTTCGGGTGGTCCGGGATCTTCTTCAACTAGGAGATCCAGTGAAGATCCTGGACTACTCATCAGCTCACTGTGATGAGCTTGCCATTCATTTTGAGGTAAAAATCGCTCAGATTCACAGTGGGTTGGGCTCCACCATTACTGCAGAATCAGAGGATGTGTCCAGTGTGCCGTGCTTAGGTCAAATACTAATGGATGAGTATCAATTGTTGAGACCTGAGGATGTGGACAAGGTGCATAGATCTGTTTGTTCTACCACCACTTAGCTTGACCCTGGCCCACCTTGACTAATTGGAAGATCTGCCAAAGGGGTTCGCACCTGGGTCCAGGAGGCTGTGAACGCCTCTTTGAGAGAGGGAGTGGTCCCTACCTCCTTGATAGAAGCGGTAATTTGGCCTCTGCTTAAAAAGCCTAACCTGGACCCAAGGCTGGTGGTTAACTACCGACCAGTGGTGAACCTCCCTTATTTGGGCAAAGTGTTGGAGCAGGTTGTGGCCAAGCAACTCCAGGCGCTGTGGATTGCACTCTCCTAAGGGACAGGGTCTGCAGCCTGGGGGTGCTCCTTGACCCCAGTCTAACTCTGGTGAAGCGGAGTCTCATGACAGTTACACATGCACTGGTAACATCTCATATAGATTAGTGCAATGCACTCTATGTGGGGCTGCCTTTGAAGACAGACTGGCAACTGCAACTGGTCCAGAATCGAGCTGCACGGCTGGTAAGTGGTGGAGCCGCTAGGGTACACATCAAGCCAATTCTGATTAAATTACATTGGTTACCAGTTGCTGCCCAGGCCCAATTCAAAGTGCTTGTTTTGACATATAAAGCCCTAAACGGCTTGGGCCCTGGATACCTGAAGG